GACCACAGGTGGAGGCTGGTTTTGATGGAAGAAATTGTACCCTGAATACAGACCATCCTGGACTCATGAGCAGCATTGCCCTGGAAGAGGCTGGAGAAAAAGGTGTTGAGAGCAAAAGATGGACCCAAAAAGGAGCAAGAGGCTGAGGGGCTGTGAGAGGAGGAAAAGGGGAGGGTGAACCGTTGGTAAAAGAGGGAAAAAAATTAGGGCAGGGCAGATTTCTTGGAGGGGGAGATAAGGGGCTGTAGGCTGCTACCCAACTGCTGCATTCATATCGAAGAGCCACAGACCTCACCCTAATTCTGTGCTGGAGCTGCAGCCAGTACAGACTGCATTCCTTACACACCAGGGCAGAGGTCTCCAATTTGCCAAGGTTTGACTTGGAGCCAGAATTAGGAGAGCAGCAGTCTGACAGCCCAGAGCTGTGTTGCACCGTGTGATGTTTCAGCTCAGATCAGTATTAATCTGAGAGTCTTTGATGCACATTATTGCTCAGTGGAGACTGGCCCAAGGTCTGGGCATGAATTTTGGCCAGAGTCTGCCCCATATAGGTAGGCAAAAATATTTTTTCATCCTCTCTCTGCTATACGTCACTCTAGTGCTGGTTAAAAATTATTTGAATTTACCCCCTGGAGCAGCTGAATTGTTCCTGTGCTTAAATTAGCTAAAGGTCAGCAATCTTCAAACCTTTTCCATGTTATACTCTCTCTCCTCTTTACACTCCTTCACAGAAGGAGCAAAGTACACATGCAGTCTTTGTGAAGGAAACCCTGGATGATTAAGGGAAGGGTGGCACTGCTTTCATATCCTGTAGTAATAAAAGGAAGTAATTTTCAAGTAAAAGAGGAGGGAAGAGCAAGAAGAAAAGGAATGTAAGAGTAAAACATAATGTTTCTCTTTACACAGCCTCTTCCCTCAATAATCCCTCCCCAAAAGACACAAAGTTCTAGATGCAAGAACAATAAGTGTCTGCAAGGCACCATGGCGTTTCTGCAGTGCTGCATTGCCTGGCAAAGAAGAGCCAGGAAGTTACTTAGGTGAAGGAAGGTTTTGGGCCACATAGAGGTGAAACACTGGCCTTTCCTTTCCATTCTTAGTGTGCTCAAGCTGCTGGCAAGCATGACTGTGCTTAGATGGGAGTGGGAAAAGCAGAGCTGCCGGAGGGAGAGCTTGTTCAGGTTGTGTCCGTGCCCAGGAATGTGTTTGAACAGAGTCCCATGGGGCACAGGCTGCTGAGCGCCAAGTTCGGCCTGGCAGGAGTGAGTGACAGAGGCAGGGCTAGATTCCATACCGTGGGATTGGCACATAGGCCTCAGTGGGTGATATGTGTCTGGGACAGAGGTAAAACTCCACACAGAGCTAAGCTAAAATCTGAGTTTTTTGTTGCCCAGACACAGAGGTGGCAGGAGCACAGGAGAAGGATGCAGGAGGGTCTCTACCTGACATGGTTTGTGCTAGTAGAGCAGCATAATGGGGGAAGTTTGCTTAGTCAGTGACTCTTTTGAGCTGGAAGAAAAATTATTCCTGACCCCTGCCAGCACTTCATGCAGATCCGGGATACAGTTCCCAGAAGTGTCCCTACATATGTTAGCAAGAAGGCCACTGCATATTTTGCTGCAAGAAAGCATGGCAACTGATTCAGCACTGAGCTGTGAGCCTGGGGTAATGGATCTCCTGAAGGGAATGCTGTGAAGCACAACTCTGAGGAGCAGGTTGTTCTTCCCGTCTCTGAGGAAGCTTGCAGACAAGACCAAGGACTGGAAGCAGACAGAGCCGGGGTCAGGTAGTGCAGTGCAGCCCCCCTCGTTACAGCATCCTCATTGCAGGAACAGCGAGCTGGGAAAACTACAGTTCCCATCACCCTTTTGTGCACCCCCCTGCGAAACTACATTTCCCAGAACTTTTTAATGAGCCAGAGAGGATGTCTATGGAAATAAATGCCGACGATTTTTGCATAACACTCTGCACCTCCGGAGTGCTGGCCTGCCTTTGGCTTGTGAAAACGGGAACAGGGGAAAAGCCAGGAAGTGTCAGCGTTGTGGAGTTGTGGTTTTGCTCACCCCTAATAGCCGCAGTGATATCCTCCACCACTGCGCATCTTTCCTCCTCTCAGGATTCCCTTGGTGGTCAGAGGGAAGATTCTGTCCCCCAAGAAACACGGCTGCTGCGGAGGGAGAGGCAGATAAACTACAGATCCCAGCATTCTCCGATAGGCAGCACCTGCGGCAGTCCCTGCACGCCGTGGGGGAGGTGGGGGTGAGGATGAGGATGGAGGGCAGGGAGGAGATGCAGGGCGCCGTGGGGCTACGCTGCACCTGGGACATCCCGCCACCCTCTGGCACCCAGGCCAAGTGGGTGAGGCTTAATGTGGGGGGCACCGTCTTCCTCACCACCAGGCAGACTCTTTGTCGGGAGCAGAAATCTTTCCTCTGTCGCTTGTGCCAGGGCGAGGAGCTGCAATCGGACCGGGTAAGGCAGTTGGGTTGCCTCCCGCACCGTGCCCCACCGAGCATGGGGAGGGCTGGAGGGATGCAGGGATGGAGCCAGACCCCGACAGCTGCACGAGCAACTGAGTGAGGAATGCCTGCTCTTTTTCCCAGGAAAGATTTCCTCTTGCTAGATCCCACCTTGCTGTGTTGTTGCCTGGCACCTGTCTTCCGGAGCTGGGGAAAAGAGAGGCCATCTCCCCTCCTTTCCTGCTCTCCTGCCTCTCTGTCACCCCACATCCTGGGACTACTTCCCAGATGTGTCTGCCTGACTCAGCCTCGTCCCCTGTTAGGGGATCTCTGCTCTCTCACACCAGGCCTCAGTTGCACAAGGAGACTGATGCCTATTTTTGGGCTTTTTCAACTGGGTTGATTCCTGCTGAGGTGGGCCTGCTGAGCAGATCAATACAGGAGTTAAAATCCAAGCTGGGCTGACTTGGCTAGGGATTCTCAGGTTTCCAAGGAATCTTAGAAATAGTAGACATTTTTGCTTAGATGTGTATTTTCTTATAGTCTAGAGCATTTGATGGTTGATTACAAATTTCCCTTGGGTATTTTCTCCTTGTGGTTTATCTCTGCTGCTAGGATGAGACTGGTGCATACCTAATAGACCGGGACCCCACTTACTTTGGACCCATCCTGAATTTCCTCCGTCATGGGAAGCTGGTCCTGGATAAAGATATGGCTGAAGAGGGTGAGTCTTAGAGCTCAGAAATCTCATGCTTAACATTGTCGCTGTAGCCAGGACACGACAGGACTTGTCAACTGTGTTGTCTCTTGTTCTCCTTTTGGAGATTCATGTGGGGGAATTTCAGAGCTGTTCCTGCAGCTCTTGGGAAGCATACTTATGTTTCCTTTACTAGAGGGAAGTGGGTGAGGAAGGCATCCTGCAAGTGTTGTGACTTCATGACTGTTTGTCCAGCAGAGATGTCACCATGACATAAATAGGCAATATCTCAGTCTCAATACACCATTTTTCATGTGTTCCAGATCCACTTTTAACCAGGTTCTCTGACTGAGTTTTCTGTTAATAATTAAGTTTTCTAATTAGGAATGAAAACCCAGAAGACCAAACAAAACCAATCTCATCTCTTCTACTAACTGTAATAAAGACCATCATTAATCAGTGATATGCAATTATGCTGCTTGTGCTCTGATGAGTTGTGGACTGCAGCAGTTCCATTTAAGCAAGCCAGACAAAGCAATCCCTCATTTGAGGTTGACAGTGGGTCCAATAGGATAACTCGATAACATCACAGTGTTACCAGCCAGCAGTCCCCAATGCCTTGTTATTTTTTGATGCCAGTGTCTAATAAGGAGCCAATTCCAAAGACAGGCTGTGCTGTCTAGCCCTTGCCAAGCACAATTTCTGCATGTTCATTAGTCTTTTTGCCTCTCTTACACATTTTTACCTAAAGCAAGGAAAGTTTTCTTCAGAATTGTCTTATCAGTTATAATTCCAAAAATATATCTAAGTAATGGTACAGGATTGTAATAAGCACAATTCTGAGATATTTCTTACTTGACATTTCTTGTAAATCTGACATCAGACAGAGTTCATCCACAGGTTTTAATATCAAATCTAAAACATAAACAGGAGTCCAGTTCATAGCTTAGCATTGCCTTTTGTTCCTGCTGCAGACAAGCTGGCATAAAACTAACCCATTAGAGAATTCAGTGCTGAATGGGGAACTCAAAAGAGGTCTCAGTGTGTCAGGTAGTGAAGGATCAGTCTCCCCACCTGCATTATCTGTGTGCTGTCCTGGGGACATGTGAATGTTGGCTCCTAGCCACCTTTTCCTCCCTGGCCTTCTGGGAACCACCTCCCTTTTCCTGAAGGCCTGTTAGCCAACAGGTGAGCCTTAGGAGAGGTGATGGATGCAGACACTATAGAGAAAAAAACCAAAACACTTCTTTATTTACCTGCTTTGAGGTGAAGCACAGGGAAGAGAGCCAAAGATCATCTGAAGTCACAGACTGTAACTCCAAGTGTCCCAGGAGGTAAGCTAGCCTTTCCCAGGCTCTTTTGATGACTTGTCATTGAGAGAGGCTGAAGCCTACATTTGTTCTCCTTGTCCAGTTATCTGGGAAAGATTTTAGCAGTCCTCAGCACAAGCCTTCACTGGCAGTGCCTGTTTCTGTAGTAGCAGGCAGCATAAGGAAATTGGGGTGAGCATTAGAAACATGATGCAGAGAGCCAAGGTTCAATTCTCTGCAGTAAGAATTTCAAGCAGTGGAAACCTCTTAAAAAGTGAGGCTACTGTGTAATTTCTCCCTATGGACCTTGGGAAGCTCAGAATTGATCTTTTGCAAGTCAAAAAAAATGGAAATGAATGGTTAACTTTCTGTCTTTATGATCCTTTTGTCTTTCTTTCTCAGGGATCTTAGAAGAAGCTGAGTTCTATAACATTGGTCCTTTGATCCGAATAATCAAGGATCGAATGGAGGAGAAGGACTACACAGTCACTCAGGTATGGCAAGGTACAGTGGGGTGGGCAAAGCAGGGAATGTAGAAAGGGAGAGATGAGTCTAGAGGGAGAGCAGACTTGGGAGAAGCAGCAAGGAATGGAAAGGAGCAACTAATTAGAGATTATGTGCTGGTCCCTACACATCAAAATGTTGCATGGGACAAGCTACCACCAATTTAATTACAATAAACAAGTTACAGGCTTGTTTTGCATCCCCAGAAGTAATGCTGGATGTAGGCCCTGAAACTAAATCAGCTTCTCTAGTGTTTGGAAAAGGAAGCTGATTGCTGTGGAATATAGAAGAATGTGAGGAGAGCTAAGGTGTCATGGAGAGGAGGGCTCTGGTGTGGGGAGTCTTGGGAGTGCAACCACAGTGAAGAGCATGGGGATATCTGTAGAGAAACCTGAAAGGAACAGGTGAAGAGAAGTCTGTGAAAGAGTTAAATGCAGACAGTGAGTCACCAGGAATCAACCCTGTGGCAAAATCATACCTTGTCTTGACCTTTGAAAATCTGTCTTTGAAGGAGCATTGGCTGCTATCTCACTTTTCATCATGTCTGCCTCAGGTTGTAAGCCTCCAGCAATACAGTCACTTAGTGTTGCAAACCCCCATCAGCATTTCTAGCATTTGCAAAACTGATTTTGTAATGAGAAGTGCAAACTTTCCATCAAAAGAGTCCATATCTTCTGAGGACAGTGCAAGAAGCACTCTGTTCAATCCCTCCTTTCCAGAAGAGTTGTTCTTGCTCCTCATGACAGCACAGTAGAAAGCTGGGTTGTGGTTTCCACTCTCCTTTCACCTGGGACATGGGGAGAGGACAGGTCTGACCAGGAGGGGTACTGCCACTTCATTCTGCAGGAGGGCAACAGCATCTGACCATTGTCAACATGCTCTGCAATTTTGCTGTCAGGTGCCTCCTAAGCATGTCTACCGTGTGCTACAGTGCCAGGAAGAGGAGCTCACTCAGATGGTTTCCACTATGTCAGATGGATGGCGCTTTGAACAGGTATGGATAAGGTGGAGCAGGGTGGGAAGGAGTTGCCTTTGAAAAGATCATGGATGTCATACAGTCCCCACGTAAGACTCCTTACATCTCTGAGGATATTGGGTAAGTCATTGACTGAGCCATCCCATTGGCTCTCTTTTGCCCTTTTTGTAGAGGTTTAGAGGATACTGTGTGAGGCCAAGCTGTTTTGCATCCTGGCTAACTTCTGGTTCTCTGTGCTGTCTCCTCAGCTTAGTTATAAGGACTTTCCACTGTGGGTGTGGACTGGACTCCATGCTGCATGGTGGACTTTCTGCCTTGCTCCCAGGATGTTTGCAGGAACATGTGCTTGTGATTCTTGCTCTCATCTTTTTTAGCTTGTGAACATTGGCTCATCCTATAATTATGGGAATGAGGATCAGACAGAGTTCTTGTGTGTGGTCTCCAAAGAGTTGTACAACTCCCCCAGTGGCCTAAGCTCTGAGCCCAGCCACAAAGCCAAGGTGAGATCAACTTTGCTATGGCCCTGCTCCCCTTGCCTATGAGATCCTTCATTCTTCTTTGCTCCCTATCTCTTTCCTCTCTTGCCTGTGACCATGGGACGCCTCAGTGGTGAAATACAGGGGCCTGCCCTGGTGTTCAGCACCATGGCATTACACCTGTTGCCCAAAAGGAGCAGTGTGTGTGTTGGAGAGGTGGTGTCTGGCTGTGTGTAGCAAATGGCTTTAGCAAGTGACCCTGGCACTTCTCATGCTATTCTAACATCCCCCTCATGCCTCCTCATGCCCATGCTGTGTGTGTCACTGCCTTTAGGGCATTGTTTCCCTGAAGGTTTTGCGGCATTCTCTTTCCTTTTTCTGAGTCTTTGCCTAAGGGGCCAATATCTCCTGCTCCCCTTTTGAGAGAAGGACAGAAACGTGTGGTGGTGCATGACATCCTGCAGACATCTAGGATAGAGGAAGGAACACTAGCAACTGATGACAGTTGTTTGGCAGTGGGGTCACAGCACTTGTAAGTGGGTTAGATACCCCTGATGTGATGTTCCAGAGGAAAAAAAGTCTCTCTGCTCCCTGACCCAGAATTGTCTTGGCCGTGGGGAAATGTCCCTTTTTATTCCAGTGTCATGACAATTGCTTTATTCCCTGTGTGTCAGAAAGAACTGCCATGGGTCATCTTGCAAGTATCTCCACTCTTTCTTCCTTTTGTCCTGCATGCTGGGCCACAGAGCACAGAGGAGGACCTGGAGGAGGAAGAGCAGGAGGTGGAGGAGGAGGCAGAGGCAGAGGCAGAAGCAGAAGCAGAGGAGAAAGGTGCAGCAAATCCTTGAGGAAAATGATAAAAATATCCCCCCCAGGCATAGACCCGTCCACCTTTCTGGTGAGAGCTCACAGCTAGCAGCAGGGAAGGACTAGAGCAGGTGTGGGGTGTGGGGACTGTCCTCTCCAGGAGTTGGAGTCTCTCTGGAGATAAAGCTGAGAGGGGAGACCTGTTACCATGGCTGCTGCTTTGTATTTTAAACTGTTTGGTTTATCTATGGTTTTATTTTTATTTGCAGACTGTCCATCTATTCGGGATTGCGCTAAACTCTCCTCCTGCGGACCCTCCCTTCTGCTCCCCTCCGTGTCCATCCCAGCACTGTCATCTACCTCCCACATTGCCCCACTCGCCAGCCTCCAGCCTCCAGCATCCTTCCCTCTGCTCTCTTTGTCTCCCAGGGCTCAGAGTGGTCTCTGCCCAGGGTCCTGTCTCTCTCTGCTCCTCACTTTTCCTCCTCTGCAGGTATGTTACCTGTCTGCACTCCCAGCTCCTGCCAGCCTGAGCTCTGCATGAGTGACTCACTTCCCTCTTGTGGGTATGGCCCTGGTTTGTAGAGCTTGGGGAGGGGAAGGAGGGAGGGGAGGTTGACTCATCCCTAAGGTGGCTCTACCTATTCTCATCCTATGTGTGTTTTCACTTGCCAAGCAGATCCTATGGCTCTGGACCAGAGGCTCTGGCAGCAGAAAGGAGAGTGCAGCTGGGAAAGGGGTGGAAATGAATGCAAAGCAGGCAGGGGTGGTTCGGGGAAGGGGGGGAATTTTGCCACGTGTCTGCGTGACACGCATGCCAGATCGCTCCTCCGGGCTGCCGTCTGCAGCTCTTTTGCCTGCCAGCAGTTTGCAGAAGGCAGCTTGTTATTTTTCCCTCCCTACTCCCACTTCCCTGGGCTTTTCCCCCACTGGCCCTGCCAGGGTGTGAGCGCAGTGGGAAAGGGTGGTAAAGACAGAGCAGAAATGAACATCCCAACAGAGATGTTCTCACAGCTGCAAACAGAATGAGCCTCTACGTTCTGCCTCCTGCTTAGGAAGGCTGTCTGGCCGACATGAGTGGGACAGGGTATGGAAACCTTTAGAAGGGGGTTTCCTCTCCATACTGGAAATCTGTGGGGTTCTAGTTAAACTGAAGGTGCTCAGTGCCACTCTCCATCTGTCCTGGTGCTGGGCACTGGTTAGCTGTCTAAAATTTCTCTCTCCCTCTCTTTAAGAGCCTCCTTGTCCATGGCTGTGGGACCTGTGTGTTATTATTTTAAAAGTCAGTGTATGTTAATCACATGGACTTTTGCTTCCTTTTGCTCTGTTTTTCCACCGTCACTCCACACTTCTTTTCTTTTTCTTCTGTTCTCATTTCCTCTGTCATTTCCCTTTTTGTTTCTCACTCTCCCCTCCCCTCTTTTCCCTACCGTTGATTTTATTTCTCTTTCTCTCTCCTTCTATAGCTGTTACAAGCCATAGATCTGAGGATGTGATCTCAACACTCCAGCCTTTTCATTTCTTGTTTGTATCTTTATTTTTGTACTACAGTGTATGGCAGCCCCTTGCCCCACAGTGACGCCCTCCAGCCCCCTTCACTCTTCACATGCAGTCATGCTTTTTTTACAAACTCACCTCAGAGGCCTGAGCCTCCAGCCCTGGAGGAGGGCAGATGCTCCATGGAGCCTCTGGGCTGCTGTAGGAGCTGAAGCCCACGGCCCCCTCCTATGCCTGGCAGTCTGGCTTTCCTTAATGTCACAGTGGCCCCTGGTGGGGACATCAGCAATCAGCCACTGCAGCTTGAGGTCCCTTCCTGAACACCCTGGATGCAAATGGGGACCCAAGGTGGTGGCAACTGTGGAAGGACCAGTCCTTGCCCTTTTGCTGTTGCAGGCAGTTGGTCTGGGCTTATAGCCAGAGGGTAAAGGCAGAGCCACAGTCCTTTTCTGGGCTACCTGCATTGCTCCTTGGTGCCTCCCTCCCTGTCCCCCAGAGCAGCCCTGTGTCAGCAGGGTGAGGAGGAGACAGATGTGCTGCCCTAGTACCTGATGTTGTGTCAGCCAGCACCAGGAGATCCCTGTTTTGGGGAGCGGGGTGTTTGCTTCACTGCTGTGTCTGAAGACTCCTGAATAAAATTCACAGTCTGTTCCTCCTTGCTGCCTTTCATTTCAAGTGGCAAGAATTCGTTGCTGATAGGAGGGGGTGGGAGTTGGAGAAAAGGAGTTTGGATTCATCATCTGGAGCCACCAGAAGCTGGTGGCTGGTGCTGCGCCTGTCTTCTGGGTCTGGAGGTACTTCTCACTGCATCTGTGCTTCATCCCCACTGCAGGCAGTTGGGCTACAGAGCAGGTTTGCTTATTGGTACCTGCACCCCTAAATCATAACAATAAGTGAGGACCACCTGTCTAGCTGAAGTATTGATCCCACTGTACTAGGGACACCTGGGGTGGGCAGGGGTGTGGAAACTTTTACCAGTTGCCAGTGCCAGGACTGGACCTTGGTCAAAAACATACAAACCCCAAAATAGGTTTTAACAAAGTGAGGCAAACTAGAGCCAAAAAAATCCTCAGATTAATTTTATTTCTAATTCTAGAGAGCAGTCCATTGTGTATATATCCATATACACACACACACATATGTGTATCTTTAGTAAAAAACCCGAACCCATAGCTGTTGCAGTTCAAGCACTGTACCCTGAAACCTTCTCCTTCACTTCCTGCATTACCTGAGATAGGAGATGGAAGCAGTTGAGACATCCTTATGTTAAAGGTATTTAGAAGGGCTGAGGGAAGGGAATGGGAGGCTGCTCCAGTGTTTTTAGTGAGGGAAGTACAGCAGTGGAGGCTGGGTGCTGCTCCAGCAGGAAGGCAGGACACGTGCTTGGGGGTGCAATGCTGGACTCGTGCCTGGGAGTCAGTGAGACGTGAAGAGTTGCCTGGCTGAGCTGAACAGCACACTGAACAGCACACGCCAGCTAAGAAAAGAAGCAATTAGGGAGATGGAAGAGGAGGAGTGATGGGAGGGGAAGGGGGATGAAGGATAAGCAGCAGGAAGGAAGAGGGAGGCAGATTGATTTCACAGTTACTGGAATCTCTAACTACATCAGTCACATTTTCTTTCAGCAAATGTTCCAGCATAAGACTGTGGCTGAATCACATGTTTTGTGGAAAGTTCATGAACCCTCTTATTCCTCTTCTCAGAAACCATCAACTTGGGACTATTGCTGTGTGTCATGTCATTGCCCCCAACTCCTCCTCCCTCCCCTTCCCTTCCCCCCTCTTTTGGATGGATAGCCTAAAAACCCCTTGGGATGCTCTCTGTGAAGCACTGATAGGGAAGAGGGTCTGCCTGCTTTTATCTACAATCCCTACAGCAGCCTTCTCTTGCCCTATTCAGAAGAACATCCTGGGTCTGACTACATCCCACACTCTCTGAGAGGCAAGTGAGCAAGATCAGAAATGAGTGCCATGTGAGTGTAGGTGTGATGGGGAGAAGATAGAGATGCACTTTTCTCAGCTCATGGTTTGCTTTATCCAGCCCAGCACTTGAGTGATCCTGGTGTATACTCCATAGTGATTTGGACGTGCACATCCCATTCCCCAGCTGACCAAACCAGCCAGAAACCATCTGCCACTGGGTTCTTTGCAGGCCAGCGGACCTCCAGAATCACCCTAGAGAAAGGAAAAGTAAAATGGGGTGATGGCGATCCACCAGCTTTTTCTGCTACGTGATTACACTGTCTTTGATTCCCTCTATGTGCAGATTCCTTTGTCCCCTCAGCTCATGCCTGGGATATCTGCAACATTCCTTGTACCTTAGGCAGATGTCAAAAACAGTCCCCATTGCAAACACCTAACACATTCATTCCTTCATCATGCAAATTCCTCCCCCTTAGCCACATCCCAAGAAGCTGATTGCTCTACTGTTTCCTTTTGCTCCATATGGCATTTCCAAATATGTGGCAAGGAAGGAAGCTGGTGGAATTTAACTGGATACTAGGAGGGATGGGAGAGAAGAATTCCTGGAGATTGATAGTAACGAAGGAACAGACAGGTTACTGTGTGTGACAGGTGCTAAAGAGGCTGTAAGAGACTAATGTAGGCACCTTACTTGAAAGTGGGAGGTTAAGAGTGGAGAGTGGGCTGAAATGAGAAAAGGGTACGTTTAACTCTATTTGGATACTGCCTAAGGGAAGAAGTAGCCCTGAGAGCCATTGCTGGCCACTTAGATCAGAGGAAGTGTTGGTGAAAGGACATTCTATGGTCTTTTAACCCTCATTACAGGCCGTGGATTGCATCCATGAGACTAGGGACACACTCCACCTCTGGCAGTCAACCTTGATCCCACAACTCCTCTGTCACCTGGCAGGCATCTTTCTTGCCCTTGTAGTACCCAGCACACAACATCCTGGGAGTAATCATGTAGTGATAGGCCTCACTGCAGATGTTCTGCTGGATGAGCTGCACGTCCACCTTCTGTAGAATATTGCTGATGTGCCCTGAAAGATGGAGCACCAAAAGCACTGCAGGTGAGTTATGGTGGAACTTCCCACTGTTTACCATGATCCCTCAGCCTATGCCTATCTCACTGCATGCTGAAACCTGCCATTGTAATTTCTGTTCTGCTCTCCACTGGCATCACAATCTCTGATCTTCAGTAGAGCACTTCACCTTCATGGAAGGAGCAAAATTCCCTTTCAAGCCTTTCCTTACAGAATATGTTGTAGACTCTTCAGCTTTTGGCACAAGGGGGATTCTGGTTTGGGGAAACCTCTAGGTTCTCAAGAGTCCTGAGTTTGTTTCTCATTGAAATGGATGTTAAGCTTTTCTGTCTAAGTATGCAAACCATGAGTGTCCAGCTCTGTATAGTCTCCTGAGTGTTTCCATTCAGGAAGCAGCAGGAGCAAGTGTGTGAGTGGGTGAAGGCACTAAGCTGACCTGAAGGACTATTCTAGTCTTTGAATGAAGAAACACATGCTTTCCCCATATAGATTACCAGACTCTCAAACCTGCCTCTCTAAATGAGGTTTCAGGGCACTCAACAGGTAATCTTGATTTGTTACCCAAAATTAAAAGGAGTAAAGGATGTTTGGGATGAACAGAAGCCTGTTCTGCCTACCACACATCTGAACCTATGTTTCTACCTTGGCACTGCTACAGTAATCCACCAACAAAGACCTTCAACCTACCGCCTTCCTTGAGGGCCCCCCAGCCAGTGATCCAGCAGTGAAGGCCAGGCTCAAAGAAGTGAGAAGGAGCAGGCAAGCAGATAGGCTGGATTAAAGGTGAGATGATCACAGGATGGTCCAGCTGGAGCAGGGCCACGTCGTAATCATGGCTGTCCTCCTCGTAATAAGGGTGGAGGAAGAGGCGGATCACCTTGAAGGACACCTCTGTATGGCTGGTGGCATTTTGAAAGTATTTGCCCAAGTAAACGGTCCATATGGAGGGGGAAGCCAGCCTGTAGGATGCAGCAGAGAAGCATGGGACCAACACAGCATGCTCTGCTGGTAATGCTATCTCATCCCATCTAGCACCTGCTGACATCTCCATGGCTGGAGCCATGACAGCATGGATACATGCCAGAGCCAAAGGAAAGGTGGAGCTGTGAAGCATTTTCTGCTAAAATTGCCCCCTCAAAGCTGTTCTGTGAATCCCAAAATTGCTTCTTTTTCCCTGCACGCACGCCTAAATACTAGTGCATGTATCCATACCCCTTTCTCCTGTTCCAAGCCATGGAGAAGCATGGCAGGAGTGCCAGATGAAGGGTGCAGCTGCCCCACGACATTTTCACCAGTCAGAAGAGCCTCCAATTATGCATGACATGGCAAGCAATGCAAATCTTTCTATCCAGAACCCTCCCATCTCCGTTTACCTCTCATCCTGGAAGCAGTGCGCAGCTGAGACCACCCAGCGATCAGCAATGAGTGTTCCCCCGCAAATGTGGCGGCCCCGAACTTGTAGGCTGGCCTGCCATGGCCATTCCCCTTCCACAGAATTCAGACCACCCACAATCCTGCTGAGAGGGGCTTGCATCCCGCAGTCTGAGGAGGAGACACGGCAGGTACTTCAAGGAAGGAAGGGAACATGATATACTGTGCCTTCCCTTTGTTTCCTACTTAGTTGACTGAAGAGTTTGACCTCTGATCCCCTGCCTTACCTATTCAGCAGATGCTTTATGTACTGCCCAAGACAGGTGTAGTGAGCTCTCCCTCCCAGTGTGTGTCCCTGCTGATGCCTGCACAGTGCTCCCCACCTCCAGCTGCATCCTGGGCATGCCTTTGGGGCAGCGTGCTGACTGTGCTGTCAGGAAACCCTCCCAGTCATTCCCTTTCACTGCCTACCGAGGCTCCAGAAAAAAATAAGTAGAGAAATCAAAACATAAATTCTCTCCCTGTCAGTGGCCATGCAGACATGGGTGATTTTTCTGGCTGGAGCCTTGTATGATGGTATTACTTCACATAAGCCAACACAGGGCTCCAACAGGAAGCCTGTGGGTTGAACCTGGATTATGAGACATTATCTGGCCTGATGCCTCTGCCTGAAGGAGATGAGTTCAGCACCGAGTTTGCTCGTTGCTGCTGACCCTGCCACCTCAGGATGGAGCAGGAGCACTGATACTGTGGGACTGGGGTGGGGAGAAGGTGGTGGAACAAGGGAGGATGGGTGCTTTTTCTGGGGTGGTGGGGAAAAAGGGGACCACCTGCAGCTGCATGTCATCCTGAACCTGCCTGAGTGACATGCAACTGATCATTTCCTCACCACAGCGCTTCTCATCAGACAGGTCCTTGCAGTCTGCAGTGGTGTCACACAGGGGGTTGGGTTTCTTCAGACAGGTCCCGTCTTCACAGCGATAGGTGAAAGGACCACAGGGGACCCCTGCAAAAAGGAAGGGGAGTCAAGGCTGAGGGAGGGCATCTGGTTGTAGACATAGCCTGAAGTCCCTTAAGTGGGGGAGAAAAGCCAACAGAGAGCTTGTGGGAACTCCATAAATGATGACAGGGAATTTCCTGAACAAACAAACAGCTCACAAACATTGTGAGCAGGTCAGGCAAGTTAACTACCAGCTGGTGTCCTTATGTCACATGAAGGAATTATGCTTCCAACAGCCTTGGTTCAAATGTAGGGGAAGGCATTTTTCATGCCAGCACTG